ACCCTTGGGGCTATATAGGGGCTTTACAAGACTATATGAGGGGTATATAAGGGTGATATAGGTTTTGAGGATAAGGGGTCCCTTCTAGGGGTCCCTCCTATTGTCCCTTAACAACCTGTGGCCCAAACAAAAAACCCTACCCTTCAAAGACTTCTCTATGGAAGGACTTAAAAAAAAAACTAAAACGGTTCTATCGGCTGGGACTTAAAAAGAAACCCTAAAACGGTTCTATCGGCTACAGCAACTTCTTGCCACTGGAGCCGACGGTGGCTAATCGAGGGATTGCTCCGCGGACACTGCAGTTGTTGGCTACCAGGGTTGTGATGGGGACATCCACCAGCCTTATTTCGCCGTCGGCCCTCATCAAAAAACCCTAAACCCTAAACCCTGAACCCTAAAGCGGTTTGACTTTCAACACAATACTAAAGTTAAGATTCAGGCTGCAGAGGCACGCTAAACATGTGGGTGGTTGTCAAAATGATGGTCCCTTTTTGGATCCTTATTATAATACGGCACCTATTATCTAGGGTACCCCTAAAGGCCCTAAAGGGACCATAATTTTGACAACTACCCATGTAAGAGTCCAGAAAAGTCAAAGGTTGTAAGTGGACCAGGTGGCGAATGCAGCAGCTGAGATACCGAGGCGTTCAGAGATGTGTTGCTGACCTCAGGTGGCTCTCGCCCCCTAATTTTCTCAGCTCAGGCGAGCCTGCATGTAGGCTTTAGGGTTTAGGGTTTAGAGTGTAGGCTTTAGGGTTTAGGGTTTAGGGTTTCGGGGTTTCGGGTTTAGGGGAGGTTCACATATCGTTATAAGTGGGGCTACAAGTAGGGTAACTGTAGCTATGACCCATAGTTTTTTTTTGGGGGGGGACTTATCACCGAACCTATGTTCTATGAACCTCGAAGTGTCCCGAGGCCCGGACATCAAGCTTGTGGAGCTTGGGAAGCAGAACCTTATTCGAGTAAATGTCGTTGCCGGCGGCATCCACTTCGTCGTCCAGGATGATGCTGATCTTGCTGCCCTTGGCACAAGATGCGGTTTAGGGTTTAGGGCTTAGGGTTTAGGGTTTAGAGTTTAGGGTTTAGGGTTTAGGGCTTAGGGAGGACAGCTGAGCCCTAAACCCTAAATCCTAAACCCCCAATGAAACTCCTAAACCCTCAACCCTGCTACAGAAACTTGGCTGACTTCTACAGCCCCTCCTAAAAGTTAAACTTTTAGACTACTTATTATAGTACAGACAGACACCCAAAAGTTATAAAGTACAAAGAGCTGACCAGAAGAACGTCAAGGAAAAAAACGGTCGTGTGCAACTCCTAAACCCTCAACCCTAAGCCCTAAACCCTAAACCCTAAAACGGTCGTGTGGGTACCACCACGTCCTGAGGGTGGCACCGCCAGGTTTATCTCGAGCAGATTCTCGCAGCAATCATCCATGCTCGCCACCCAGCCGGTGACCGCAGTTCCTGTTAGGGTTTAGAGTTTAGCGTTTAGGGAAGTTACCATAATAGGAGTCTAAAGTAAATAATATGGTTCCCTTGTTATGGCAACGAAAAACCCCTTGACAAGAACCCAGGTTCCGGATAAGTCCAGTTGTTGAAGCGCGCTGAAGCCATTGACTTGCACAGTGCCCGAGACGCGGCTGTGGGCAAGGCATACCTGAAATCTGGCTCAGGAACTTACTTCGAGTTGCCATAACGGGGATCTTTGGTAAACAATCGGGTTGCCTTAATATGGCAACTGAATTAACTTCCTTAATATGCTACTGTAGGGGCCTAAATAATTACCAATACTATTTTGGAGGTCCCTTATTATAATGATAGCATGCTGCACCCGCAAAACCCTATTCTAATTATTAAGCCCCCTAAACCCTAAACCCTTTTGGTAGCCCTTATAGAACCCTTTAAGGAACCCTTAAAAGGAATCCCCAAACCCTATGCTAATTACTAAGACCCCATATATCAACTTACTTTAATCTACCACAGTAGGAACTATCAGGTTTCTCTTAATGCGGTAACTTCTGTTAGGCTCCTTGAACAAACAACCCCAGATAGGTAGAGGGTTTAGGGTTTAGGGTTGAGGGTTTAGGGGGTTAGGGGTTTAGGGGTTTAGGGTTTAGGGGCTTAGGGGTTTGGGAGTTTAGGGTGTAGGGTTTAGGGTTTGGGGTTTAGGGTTGACGATAGTTCTCTACGTTAGAGTCCCTGTGTAGGCCCTCAAAACAGTACGGCCATTACAAAATAAGGACCCCAGAGAGAACCCTAATTTGGAGAACTATCCAACTAGAACCCTTACAGAGGCCCTATAGAAAACCTTAAAGACCCCTTCAAGGAATCCTGAACCCCATACATAAAACCTGAAATGAACCCTAAAGCCTAAACCTTAAACCCTGCCCCTAAAGGGGACCCCAAATTAGAGAACCCCAAGCCCTAAACGCAAACCCTAAAGGGGACCCGAAATTAGAGAACCCTAAACCCTAAACGCAACCCTAAACCCTAAACCCTAAACCCGAAACCCGAAACCCTAAAGGGGACCCTAAATTAGAGAACTACCCAGATACCTTCCGGAGCGACTCAAGAAGCCACAGCGCTTCAAAGTCGCCTGCCACCTGTTTAGGGTTTAGGGTTTAGGGTTTAGGGTTTAGGGTTTAGGGGTTTAGGGGTTTATGGGTTTAGGGGTTAGGGTTTAGGGTTCAGGGTTTAGGGTTCAGGGTTTAGGGAAAATTAGGGTCTCTTTAGGGCCCCCTTTGGGTTCCCAAACTGTAGGGTGATGTAGTAAAGACTATAAGTATGGTTTAGATTTTAAGTATATGGAGTTTCCGAAAAGAGGGGACCCTAATATAGCACCCTATATAGTAGGATCCTTATTATAAGGACCCCCAAAATAAGGACCCCTTGTTGTCGGAAACTCCCAATATAGGGACCATGAGTTTGACAGTCACCCCCCTAAACCCTAAACCCTAAACCCTAAACCCTGAAGCCCTAAACACCCACCTGGGTTCGGGATAAGTCCAGCTCCTCGAGATACTCGAAGGCGTTCAGGCCTACGAACGCCTTTAGCTCCCCGGTCCTCTCTGGTTCAGGGTTTAGGGTTTAGGAATTAGGGTTTAGGGTTTCGGCTCCGAAAAAGTTCAAGAGGGTTTAGGCAGAGGGTTGAGGGTTTAGGGTTTAAGATAGACCAAATATATTAGACCAAAAAATATATTAGACCAAAACGCTTAAAGTTCTCCCACTGGCTATCTAAGAGTCACGTCGGTCTTCGGCAGGCGCAAGACTTTCAGAAAGCTCATCTGCCCAAGTGCATTTAAGTCGCCTGCAACTTGTGTCCGTGACAAATCCAACGTCCTGATGTGTTTCCTTACTTGTCCCGTATCTCAGGGAGAGGAAATGATGGATTTTGTAGGGATTATGTATCAAAAAAGTTGAAGGTTTCCGACGTGTCTTCTCAGAATGCTTCTAGAACCCTTGTAGAACCCCTTACAATGCTCCAAAAACGTTAAAGGCTACTCTACCACTTGGAGGGTCGGGGACTTAATTTTACAGGCCCATAAGTGTCATAACCCCAACTAGGGTCCCTTTTGGGGTAGCTATAACTCTGTAAAAAAAGCACTCACTAAGTGCCCTGACCCTCCAAGTACTAAGTCACCAAGTTTCAGAGAAGAGAGGTCGGTGAGCTCCCCTGTCAGCTGGGTATCCGACAAGTACAAGCGCTGCAAACCTTACTTCCCCTAGAAGGCAGGGAAACAAATGGTTAAACTGTTAAACTTTCAGGTTGCCACTAAATTATAAGACCCCAGACCCCGAATCCTAAACCCCAGACCCCTAAACCCTAAACCCCAAAGCCAGCCCTAACCTTAGGCCCAAAACCCTAAACCCTAAACAACTAAGCCTTAAGCCCTAAAACCTAAACCGTTTAGAGGTTGGGCATTGGAGAACTAAGAAACTGTGCAGCTGGCCCAAGGCATCCAACTCTCCGGTCACTTGCGTTTCCTTGGCTCTTGCTAAGGAACCTGACTTAAGTCACCACAATGGCGGGGTTTAGGGTTTGGGGTTTAGGGTTTAGGGTTTAGGCCATACTAGTTACTATAGATCCCTATGAAGGTGGCTTAGGGAACTTAGTTAAGTCACCGCAATGGGGAACCATGCTAGTTACTATAGATATATGGATCCCTCTGAAGGTGGCTTAACCCAAACCCCCAAAAGGATCTAAAAAATAGATCCCCAAAGGGGGTTCCTATAAAGTACCCTTTAGTAGTTAGGGTCCCTTATTAGGGGATCTATTTTTTAGATCCTTTTGGGGGGTCTGGGAAAGTAACTTGAACTCCATTCCTTTACCAGAGGCCAGTCTCTGAGAGGCCCAAGACGACTAGCTCTCTCAGGTCGCTGAGGGCTCGTAGATCGCCTTTTACTTGGGTGCCGCCCAGGTACACGTTTTCCAGCACCTTCAGCTGTCCCAAGACATCGTTTAGGGCTTAGGGTTTGGGGTGTAGGATGTTTGGGGTTTGGGGCTTCGTGCTAAAGCCCGAAAAACCCTAAACCCCTGCAGTAAACCCTAAAATGCTAAACCCTAAACCCTAAACCCTCGGCACCTTCAGCTGTCCCAGCACATCCAATGGCCCGGTGACAGGGAGGTTCTCGAGATCCAATTTGCGCAGGAGTGGCATGTTGGACAAGTCCGACAAGTGCCTAGGGTTTAGGGTTTAGGGTTTCGGGCTTAATCCGACAAGTGCCTGGGCTCTTGTCAATCCTATGGGGTAGTTCTCTAAACTCGGGTCCCTCTTGGGTCTTTTTTAGAAGGGTGCCGGAGTAAACGGGGACCGAAGAAGGGACTCTACTTTCGAAAACTACTTATAACTGAATTATTACCAATACCATCCCTTTGGGTTGCTATTATATTCTAACTATAATTACAATCTAATAAACCCGATGCTATGCCCAGGAAACTTAATCTTTCAGCTGCCATACAAAGGGTCTATAGTAAATACCATGGTCCTTACCTTCTGGTAGCTGAAGACCCTGAACCCTAAACCCGAAACCCTCATGTAGGGGCCTTAATAACTACCTATACTATTTGGGGGATCCTTATTGTAGTTATATTATAATATACACAAAAACCCACTCTAATTATTAAGACCCCTACATTAGTTCTCTAGATTAGGCTCCATTGTTAGGTCCCCAATATACAGAGTATGCCACAATGCACCCTACACCCTATACCCGAAACCTCAAACCCCTAAACCCTGACCCCTAAACCCAAAAACCCTAAACCCTAAACCCAAAAACCCTAAAACCCTAAACCCCTGAACCCTGACCCCTAAACCCTAAACCCGAAAGCCCTAAAACTCCAAAGCCCACATAACATGATAAACCCCAAAACCCTAAAACCCCAAAAGCCCAGATAACATGATAAACCCAAAAACCCTAAAACCCCAAAGCCCAGATAACATGAATAAACCCCAACACCCTTAAACCCTAAAGCCCAGATAACATGATAAACCCAAAAACCCTAAAACCCCAAAGCCCAGATAACAAGGACCCAGATGCCCTAAACCCTAAACCCTAACCCCAAAAGCCCCAAAGCCCAGATAACATGAACCCAGGTGCCCTGTGAGCTGCGCTCTCGGGCTCTCAAGGCGCAAAAACCTGGGCTGCTCTGTAATACCTTGCTAAAATTGTAACTTTTGGTACCCCTAAAATCAAAAAAACCTAATCCTAAAAGTGAGAAAGCTATAAGGGTAGTTCTCTAAACTACTTAGGGTCCTTTTTAGGGCCCTTTTTATAAGGGTGCCGTACTATATTGGGGACCTGAAACAGGGACCCTAATTTAGAGAACTACCCATACCTGAATTATTACCAATAAACTTTTAGCCTAGATTTTGTAGTTCATATAGAAACCCAAAAAATTAAAGTCTAAAGAGCCAACTAGAAGAACGCCAAGGCTAAACCCTAAATCCTAAACCCTAAACCCTAAACCCATAGAGCTATAAAGTGACTGGTAAAGTTCAACCAAGAAACGTGAGCCGTGTGAGGTCGCGGAGCGCCTCCAGCCGGCCCGTGGCGTTTAAGATCTCCTGGGCTCTCCAAAACGGAGGCGGAGATACTTGGGTTTAGGGTTTAGGGGCTACAAGGGTTTAGGGTTATCGTATATTTGGAGGGTTGGGGAATTTAGTAAGTCGGTAAGAAGTAAAGTTATAAATGCCCCAAAAAGGGACCCTAATTGGGGTTATGATACTTATAAGTCTATATTTTAGCTACGTTCTGGGCGAAAAGGGATCCCCATTGTGGTGACGGTACTTAGAAGTATATAAGGTTAGAAGTATGGGCCCCTAATATGGACCCTTAGGCCTGTTTAGGGACCCTTAAGGGTACATATAGGGTATATCGTAGGTGTATAAGGATCCCAGTGTTAAGGGCCCATACTAGGGGCCCATGGTTTCAACCTTAGACACACGAAGGAGCATACGCTCACTGTTTAGGGTCTAGGGTTTGAGATTTTGCGTTGGGGTTTAGAGTTTGGGGTCTAGGGTTCAGTATGGCATATGCTTTTAATCGTCGGGACCGCTCTAAGGCCTAAGGTAAAAACTTGAAATGAGCATGTGAGGTTGTCTTGGCACCAGTGTTGCATCAGGACTTTAGAGTTTGCGATATAAACGAGCTTCTCTGTCCTCATTTTTATGAGGACCTTATAATTTGTTGTCTTATTGGTACCTCTGCAACTCCTACTTTCAAGACCTTACATGTCCTACATGCGAAAGCCTTCTGCAAAGTACCCAGGCTAAACCCAAAGCCCTAAACCCTAAACCCTAAACCCTAAAGCCCCAAACGGCCAAGTGACAAGCTTGGCAACACAACCTCTCTCGCAGAAGACGCCCGGCCACTTGCACGGGTTCCCTTGCCTGGGCTCGTGTGAAGGAGTGCCAGTTTCCTTGGGTTTAGGGTTTAGGGTTTAGGGTTTAGGGTTTAGGGTTTAGGGGTTTAGGGTTTAGGGTTTAGGGTTTAAAAAACAAAGAGGGGTTCATGTAAGGGTCTTCACAGTTAGAACCGATTTGGGTGATATTTTATAAGGTATAGTAACGTTATCGGACGTAAACCCACGGAACTATTCCGACCTGTTAAGTCAATAAAGCAGGAACAGCATATGATTGATCATTTTGCCATAGGTTTCGCTAATATTCGAGGTAGCCAAACTTCAAACCTAATAGAAAGTCGATAAACAAAACTTGCTAACCCGGCTAACCCGGCCAATGATCCTGACAAGAACATCGAAAGCACTTATACAAACCACTAAGTTCTTCATCAATCTCACCTTAAACCCTCAACCAAACCCTAAACCAAATTTCCTAAACCCTAAACCCTAAACCAAAGTTCCTAAACCAGACCGCAGTTGCCCCTGTTGGCCGATGCCCTCCAGCGCTCGCCGTGCAGCAGCTTGGCCTTTGGCAAACAAGCAGGGAAAGCCATATGTTAAAGGAAACTAGAGGTGAGGAGTTCAGGGTATATAAGGCTTCTATAAGGCTTCTATAAGGTATATAGACCTTCTATAAGGCTCCTATAAAGGTAACTACCCACCTGAAAATGTCCTAGACATATGGGTAGTTCTCCAAAATAGGGTCCCTTTTCAGGTCCCCAAAAAGCGGCACCCATATAAAAAGGGATCCTAAAAGGGACCCTGATGCAGAGAACTACCCA